CTTCGTATATGGCTAGGTTTAAGGCGGTCGGGACAACCCAGCCAAATGAAGCTGCTTTGGGAATGCCTATTGGAGATGTGTCTTCTGTCTAGACAGTGTGTCCGGACTGTCTGCCCACACATATATGGGGGAGATCATACCTGACCAAACAGGCCGGCCCGGCCCGGCCCATTGTAATCGTGCCTGGCCCGGTACGGCCCGTAAGGGCATGATTATTATACGGGTCGGCCCGTGCGGCTCACGTGCTCCGCCTCCAGGTCCAGGCACAACCTAATTAAGTAAACAGGACGGCACGTTGGCCTGTTTAGCACGCTGGGCTGCAAGTTTTCAGCCTGTTGGGGGCTGATTTTTAGGCATATTGGGCAGTATTTTAGATATATATATAAAATAATTCTGAAAATTATATTTTTTTAAGAAAATAATTTTGAAAATTATATAAAAACAATAAATGGATCGTGCCGTGCCGACCCACGTGCCCAGGCTCCAGGCCCAGGCACAGCCCATTTAGCCCATGCTGTGTCGGAGTGCTCGCGGGCTGGCCTGGTTAGCCCGGCCCGTTTGGCCAGCTATAGGGGAGATTTTCGAGTTGTGTATGTAGTCATATTAAAAGAAAATAGTGCATGACAAACGAATGCACGCAACCTTGTCCCTATGAACAACCCTGAAAGATTGAGCCAGCGGATCTTGAAATTGACGAAGTCGTCACAGACAACTCATAGTCGACGGACACGGCCTATCACTGAAAAAATAGAGTGGTAGAACTTGAAATAATTCAGAGAAATGTGAGCCAAATTTAAAACTTGATTATGAGTGAATTAGTTACACCACATGGAAACCATTTAAGCCATCATTAATCAAGTCTATTTAGTCGGCTATACAAGGCGGTCATGAAGTAGGTAGAGTTTGTGCAGAAATAACAATTGTCGGAAGGCTCATGATGCAAATTGACATGATTGCTTTGTTAAAGAACGGCAATATCTGATGAATGTTCTCTAGAAAAGGATGACATTTGCAAATGTTTTTCTGACAATTTTAGTTATAGGGCATGACATTTTCTTCAGAAGTGCATAGCCGTTTTTGACATAAAAGATATTGTTTTAAACGGCTTTGCTACATCGACGGAGAGTTACGGGTGGTTTACGGGCCTGGGCACCCAGCCCACCAGTTAAAATCCGTGAGATGGGAGTCCATAAAATCTGGGAGTCCGTGTGTGTAGCATTTTTGTTTTTCTAAATATACTACCATCCACATGATTTTGATCGGACAACTGTGCAAGCATTTGCTGGGACCTCCCCTAGTGAACTTCACCCATGTAGTCAGCTATACAACAGGATCACGAGGCATGTCGAATTTATCTGGGAAACTAATAATTGTTGTAACCCCCGCAAAAAAATAAATTAATCGTCATGCAACTGCATGCTTGACATGATTGGTTTTTTGAAGGACCGCAATATCTTGAAACATTCGCCAGGAATGGATGACATTTGCAAACGTTTTTCCTCACAACTTTAATTGAAAGAGATGTCATTTTCTTCGGAAGAGCATAATAGTTTTTTGCACAGACGACATTTAAAAAAAATACCATCAGCATGATTTTGATCAGATGGCCGGTGCAGGCATTCACCGGGACCTCCCGCGGCGAATGTTTGCCAATTTATCATTACCGTTGTTAAATGGACAACGCCAAAAGTTGGCAGCATTGCGCGAGATTAGCGGAAAGATCTGATAACTGCCCGATCAGCATGCAATATATTCAGCAAATGCTAAATATCAGCGTGGCGATTTTTGGGATCCCACAAAGCACGCTCACAACAATTTTTTACCAAGTTTATCCCTTGATTCATGAGGTAATAGCACCCCAGGTACCCTAACTTGTACAGAATGTGATGATTTAGTCCCAAAGTTGCAAAACTTGACTCCACCATACCCCAACTTGTATCTCATGTGATGATTTAGTCCCAGGCCAATCACAGCTCGCCAATTGGCTGCCAGGTGGCTGGACCTGTCAACGCATGCAGTTTTGCACAAACCCCCCTGCCATTTCCTTTTATCAATGGACGGCTTGGACGCCCTGGACACCCATCCTAGGCTCATCCCCATCCTGGACGCCCTGGACACGACCGCGTTGCGCGCCTGCGAGTCGCACACCTGTGTGCTGAACTTGCACCGGTACCTGGACCGCCAGCCTGCCGGGGCGGCCACGTCTGGGCTGCCGCTGCCTTGCGACGCGGCGCCACTGCCGTCGATCTTCTTGATCGCCCTTCGCATGCTGGAGCACTCCCTCTCCAGGCCCTGCACCCGGCTCATCATGTCGTCCATGTCCACCCGCAGCGTTTGGCTCTCCTGCACCGTTGTCGTCTGCCACGCCTCGCTCGGGCCAGCGGCGTGACGCACCGCCGCCACTGGCCGCTGCAGACGAGGATTCGGATGCCGCGCTCGCGGGGAAGCCATGGACGCTATCAGTGTGCCCATGATGGCGCATCGGAGCTGCAGCTGCTCGAAGAAGAGCACCTGTAGCACCGCGCGCAGCGGGAGCCGCTCGTTCTGCGCCGCGTGCGTGCATGCCTCCATCGTCAGCTTCCTGAAGTCCACCACGCCGCACACCCTGTCCCGCTCCTCCGCCGTCAGCCGCGGATACGCCTGCACATGCATGCACCAGTCACGAGCCATGGAGTCGGCAACAAACTGCTACTCGACAACCAGACTCCGACACTCCTTGTAGACTAGCCCTGTGCAAGGTCTTTTTAGTTTCTTTAGCTCCTTAGTTGTAGTCTGGGTGCCTTCGCGGCTGGTAGCTTGTCTTTACTTTTTCTGTTTTTTTCTTTTCCTGAACGTTGTATCAACTCTGGTTTCAAGCGTTGCAATGGAACCGGGGAAGCCTTGTGGCTTCCTAATGCTCTAAAAAGAAGCAGTCAATGACAAATCGGGGAATGTACGTACCTTGAGGTAGATGTCGACGGCGCGGTAGACGCCATCGTCGTAGATGCGGGCGTGGTCCGGCATTGCCAGCGCGAGCTCGCAGAATTTGGTTGGCTTCAGGTTGGCGTCGGACGCTACCTCTGCCAGGTAGTTGTCCACCAGCTTGCCCACCTGCACCATTGCCACGGTCAACGGACGTGACGCCATCGTCCTTGCCGCCGCTTCCTCCTCGGTGATTGCAGCTGACAACGACGCCTCGTCCTCGCCCACCTCCTCCTCGACCAGGAAGTGCCTGAGCACCCGCTCGACGTAGTCCACGTCGTAGAGCGTCTCCGTGGCGCCGGAGTAGCTCGGGATGAGCACGTCCTCCACCGTTGCCTGTTCCAGCTGCGTCGCGGCCTTCCGCTCGATTGCCGCGCGCGCCGCGTCGGAAGCGCGCAGGATGTGCACCGTCCGCAGCAGCGCGACCAGGAATTTCGCGGTCACCATGCTCCCCGAGCCCTTGTCCGCGGGGAGGCTCGCGACCACCGCCTCCAGGAGGTCTCTCTGCTCCACCTTCGACGAGACCGGCGCGGACGCGCGGCGCCACCTCATGGCCCTCGACAGCCCCGGGAGGGTGGCCTTGGCGTAGGACACGAGGCAGCCCTCCAAAGCCTCCGTCATCACGTCCTTGTGCGGCCATGGCCACCATCACCCGCTTGTACATGTGCGGACCGAGCACGGCCAGGTCGCCGAACCAGGAGCGCGACGTCGCCGACGAGCGCGCGGCGATGGCGTCCATGCAGCGGGCGACAATGCCGAGCTCCTCGGGTGCGGCAGCAGCTCCTCGCAGGACTTGAGCGCCTTGGTGGAGGAGCACAGACTGCGAGAGGTAGGCCTCGGCGCGTGCGGCCAGGTTGTCCTCGGAGTGCTCCTCCGTCATCTCCAGGTACTCGGCCGCGCACCGCAGCAGGGCGACGTTCCAGGGTGTGAGCTCGACGCGGACGCCGTAGCAGAACTTGGCGCCGCCTCGAAGGTGCCTGGCCCGCCGGGAAAGTCCGGGAAGGTGATGCGGTACGACTTGCCGTCATGCATCCTAACATGCTGCTGCTCCTCGTCCCCGTCCTCCTCCTCTGCTTCCTCAATCTCTGTTTCTGCCGCAGCATGCTCTTCGACATTGCCTTCAGAACTCCCATGCCGACGCCGCCGCTGGCCCTCTAGACGCTGCTCGTCCTGCTCGGCAAGCAGGCGGCTGATGTTGCGGCTCTTGGACATGAGCAGGAACTGCGCGCGCAAGCACCAACTTCTCCGCGGAATTTCGTCGAGCACAGATTTAATTCAGGTGGGGGTTCATGTGGGGGGTAACTGCAAGTTGAATCAGTGAAACGGCAGGGGGGTTTGTGCAAAACTGCAGGCGCTGACCGGCCAGCCACTTGGCAGCCAATTGGCGAGCTCTGATTGGCCTGGGACTAAAACATCACATTGGTTGCAAGTTGGGGTATGAGTTGATCTAGTTTTGCAACTTTGGGACTAGATCATTATATTGGGTGCAAGTTAGGGTACCTGGGATGCTATTACCTCTTGATTCATGGTGGTATCCAAATCATGCCTCGGCCGCGTACGCGCAGGATTTTGCGCCGTTCGCTACGCGTCCCGCCGTTTCCACCCACGCAGCAGCAGGCCGTCGTGCCAACTCACGCCACTGCCGCCCTGCCCCTGCCCCCTCCCTCAAACCACGAGCGCGCCACCGTGTCTCTCTCTCTCTCTCTCCTCCGGCGATGGATCCCAGCCCGGCCAGAAATCTGGCAAAGCGCGTACGTCTGCGGACGCACGCATCCTCCCCGTCCAGCCAACCAATGCTCGCCATCACTGCCCCGCAGACCCCGCCTGCGCCTCATTTATATTCTCTCCCTCGTCGCCCGGCCAGATCGACCCATCCCTTTCCTCCCTGCCACCCTTTGACCCCTGTGCGGCTGCGCCCCGCCCCCCGCCACCCACCCACCTCACTCCACTGCACGCTCGTCACTCTTACTGAGAGGAGGGCACAGTGGGCAGCCCCGTCGGTGGTAGGAGTTTGCGCGTGTTGACGACAGAGGCTGGAAATGAAGATGTCGTCTCCCGCCGCCCTCTGCGTCTTCGTCCTCCTCGCCTCCCTCCTAGCGGCGGCCAGGGCCGAGGACCCCTACCGGTTCTACACCTGGAACGTCACCTTCGGCGACATCTACCCGCTCGGCGTCAAGCAGCAGGTACGTACGTACGCCGGCAGTGCGGCGGCGCATTGCTCTGCATCTTCGTCCTCTTCTCCTACATCCTCTTCTTTCTCCTTCTTGCTCTGTTTCTGCTGAGCCGCGGGTGGGTTCAGGGGATCCTGATCAACGGGCAGTTCCCGGGGCCGCAGATCGACGCCGTCACCAACGACAACATCATCATCAACGTCTTCAACAACCTGCCCGCACCATTTCTCCTCTCATGGTAATTATCCTTTCTTCTTCCTCTCCTCCTGCCCGTCCGTACGTTTCCACTGTGCGTGTCGGTGCCTCTCCCCAAATTAGCCGCTGTTCATTTGAAGCTCGGCACACATGCTTCTCTCTCCACGCTGCATTCCTGCTGGAATGCCGCCGGTCGGCTCATTTCCGAGCTTATTTAACTGCCACACATATATTCATGCCTTCGCATGTATATATGGTCTAGATTAAGCTGTGAAATCGAAATGTATGGCCATGTTTTTCCCCTTTCTGTTTTTACAGCATCTCTTCACTGAAACTACCGGGTAAATGCCTTTCTCTTTTTACACTGCTACCTATATACGTCGTTGTTGGCATGGAGAGTTATTTTCCAAATGTGAACATATACGGAAGAATACGCCGACTCCCAGCCCAGGACATCACCTGCGCAACAGTGCAACAGTGCAAGTGGACAGTTAAATTTGGTTCAGTAGATCGAGCAGACACATGTGTAAATCTCCATTTAGTAAGCGCTGCGCCTCGGCACTGGCAGAGCTCGTGACGGATGTCCCTGGTAATGAGCTGTCCCAGCCTCAGGGCAGGCAAACAAATGTCGGCATTTGTTTAGCTCTAGACCGGATCTGATGCCCTTCTCAGATCCAGTGCCATCTCTATCCTTTCATGAATAATAACATTTTTTTCAACTTCTTTCGGCCGTGCTTTCGCTTTCACTACAGATCAGATCAGTGGTGAACGAAAGAAACAAGTGTGCAACTGGTATCAGTGGGCCTAGTGTGTTTTCAGCATTTGGCATGTGCACCAGGCCGATGCGGTTCCTGGCTTCTTTTGCCTTCCAAGTGTGGTAACCATGTAACTTATATCCCCCAACTTGGGCCTTATCGCCAAGAAAAGCCATGTGAATTACTATTGTGAAAGAAGTACATGAAGCTGCTTCTAAATAGTTCTGTTTATCAGCTAGGCTAGCGATGCTGAATTTTAACTGTGTTTGGAACGACGACGATTGGACTGCGTAAATGAATAGCGTAACATGGTCTGACGGTGCATACACTGCAGGCAGGGGATTCAGCAGAGGAGGAGCTCATGGCAAGACGGCGTGTACGGCACAAACTGCCCGATCCCTCCGGGGGGCAACTTCACCTACAACATGCAGTTCAAGGACCAGATCGGGAGCTACTACTACTTCCCTTCTCTCGCGTTCCATAAGGCGGCTGGCGGGTACGGTGGCATCAGGGTCCTTAGCCGCCCGAGGATCCCCGTTCCGTTCAACCCCCCTGCCGGTGATTTCACCATCTTGGCCGGTGACTGGTTCAAGCTCAACCACACTGTAAGCTCATGTTTTTGCTGCATTGAAGTGCGACGTTTCACGAAAAGAATGGTAAACCTGAACTGAAACTCGAAACTTTGCAGGACTTGAAAGGCATTCTGGACAGTGGTAACGACCTTCCGTTCCCTGACGGGCTCCTTATCAATGGCCATGGCTCGAATGGCAATAGGTTCACAGTAGACCAAGGTAAAATCATCAGAGTAAAGCAGCCCAAAAATAGCTGATAAGCACTTCATATTTGGTAAGACAGAGACATGGTTGTACTGAACTAGCTTCATGTAATTTTGCCAGGGAAAACATATCGTTTTCGGGTGTCAAACGTGGGCATCTCGACCTCGGTGAACATAAGGATCCAGGGCCATTCCTTGCTCCTGGTGGAGGTGGAGGGATCGCACACCATGCAGAACACCTACTCGTCGCTCGACATCCACCTAGGCCAGTCCTACTCGTTCCTCGTGAAGGCGGACCAGCCACCCCAGGACTACACCATCGTCGTCTCGACGCGCTTCACCAACCCCGTTCTCACCAACACCGCCATGCTCCATTACAGCAACTCGAATGGCGTCCCCGCAGCGTTGCCTCCTCCCCCCGGGCCGACCGTCGAGATCGACTGGTCTCTGAATCAGGCCAGATCAATCCGGTAAGACTGAATGACTGTAAAAACTGAAGTCACATATGCTGCGATTCTGAATGACTGAAAAAAAAATGAAGTCACATACATATGCTGGGACTCTGAATGACTGAAACTCTCTGAATGATGAACGCAGGTGGAACCTGACGGCGAGTGGACCGAGGCCGAACCCTCAGGGGTCGTACCACTATGGCCAAGTGAACACGACAAGAACGATGAGGCTCGCCAACTCGCGGGTCACCATCAACGGCAAGCTGAGGTACGCGGTGAACAGCGTGTCCTTCATCCCGACCGACACCCCGCTCAAGGTCGCCGACTTCTACAACATCCAGGGCGTGTTCACGCCGGGGAGCATGCCCGACGCCCCGTCCGGCGGCCCCGCCTACCTCCAGACGGCCGTCATGGCGTCCAACATGCGGGACTACGTTGAGGTCGTTTTTGAGAACGCCGAGGGCTCCGTGCAGTCCTGGCACATCGACGGCTATGCCTTCTGGGTCGTTGGGTGCGTTCGCTTGCTGCCATTCTTGCAAATCATGGGCTTGATTTAACACAGTGATTTGTATGGCTGATCATTGATTTCTGGATGGAAAATGAACTGCAGGATGGACGGAGGGCAGTGGACGCCGGCGAGCCGTCAGAACTACAACCTGAGAGACGCGATCGCCCGGTACACGTTGCAGGTATGTTCGTCTCCGGTGACAGCCGACTAACCAAGCAGCAGCTCTACGGTGTCTGATTTTAGTTCTGAACTTTGTGCTTCATAGGTGTATCCTGGGGCGTGGACAGCGATATACATGCCACTGGACAACGTGGGGATGTGGAACGTTCGGTCGGAGAGCTGGGGCAGGCAGTACCTGGGCCAGCAGTTCTACCTGCGGGTATACTCGCCGGCGAACTCGTGGCGCGACGAGAACCCCATCCCCAAGAACGCACTGCTCTGCGGCCGCGCCTCCGGCCGCCGGACCAGGCCGCTCTGAATTCAGTTTCCGTGTCATGAAGGGGTGACTGAATCTGAGAATCAGGTTGCTGAGCTCCAAATTCTTTTGACAGGAAACAAGCTTTGAGATGGTCTGTATTTGTAGCGGCGTGTCGGTGCTATTCGTGATTCTTTTCCTGGAAATTGTAGGCAAAATGTTACGTATGGCAAGCATTTTGCTTGCTCTCCTATTTGGAACTGCAAAAACGCCTTATATTTAGTTACAGAGGTAGTACTACATTGTTCGTTGATGGTATGGATATATGTAGATGAGCTTGAATTAAACAAGCAAATTAAAAAAAAACTTGAATTAAACAAGCAAATTGCCAGTGTTTTGTGTGAGTAAGAATTAAACTGGCAAATTACCAACCTTGTGTGAGAGTAAGAGATCAAATGGTATCAACGTGACTGAATTTGAACAACCTTTCTGGGATGGCTTCCTGGCTGAATTTCAACAACCTTTCTGGGATGTGATTAAGGGGAACATGCTATAGTTGTTTAACTAACTACACATAAAAATCTTAACATATTCTAAACTTCGAGAAAATTATTTTGCTGATATGCAAGTTGGATCCAACAATATTTATCAGTTGATTTTGTCTTATGAATGTCATCTTTAAGATTTCTATAAAGGTGACAACTAACCAGTCGAATGGGGTGGTTGACCATGTGGTCTACTCCACTCAAACATCGTTCATACCAGGACGAAATATACTCGATGGGATTGTTGTCCTACATGAGACTATATGTGAGCTTCAAAAATGTCGAGCAGAGTCATCTTCAAAATTGATTTTGAGAATGCCTACAATGAGAGTGAGGTGGCCCTCGGGTTCTCACCAAAATGGTGTAGATGTGTTGATGATTAGTCCCTTTAGTAATCTTGTAAAGAAGCAGAAAGGATTCTCGCCTTTTCCCCATAGGTGACCTTGAGTTATCGAACACATGAGAAAAAGGCACCCTCGAAGTCAGAGGTTTCTACCAAGTTTTTGCAATTGACCGGATCAAAATCAAGTTAAACCTGAAAACAATTATAATAAAAATAGGCATGGGTATGAGGACTTTTCTTACAACCATATATTTGTCAAACGGATCATCATGATATTAATTTGTGCCCTGAAAGTCATCCATCTAGATGTGCTTCCAACATATAGAAGTGAGGGATGTGTCCAAATTACGTTTGATCGTCACGCGTCCTGTGTCAAGAATCAGTTGTCAAGCCGAAAGACCATGTCCGTCACACGGGGTTGCCCCGGTAATTAAGATAGAAATTAGACAAAAGCATTTGGTGTTTAATCACTACATCTCTTGTCCCAAGGATAGGATTTGTGTTATCATACTAAACCTTTCTGTCACTAGTGTTTAGAATAACACTTCATGGTATCCCTACCCTTAGCCTCTCCGTGGCCCGCTCTGCATGATCCTGGGTACTTGCAGGGACGAAGAACGCGGACGAGACAAGAGATAACTTACGAAACAATTTTATATCACACATACAAATTCAAAGTACTTCCATTGATCCCTCCAACAAATACATCGGGTGGCAGGGCTATGCCTCAACCCATGACCTTATCGAACTACTCACACATTGTTGGAGTTGAATCATGTGGATCTTGCGTAGGGGGTCCTGAGCTGGTGATCTTGGCTTAATGGTAACAAGACAAAGAGGGATACAATGTTTTACCCAGGTTCAGTCCCTCTCAAAGAGGTAAAACCCTACGTCCTGCTTATGTTGCATTGATTGTGGATTGGGTACAAAGCACAGGATAATCTATCGGTTGAGCATGAAAAAGGTAGTGATGGGGAGGATGAGAATATTGAAGAAGTACAAAAATTGATGAATCTCACAATGATTGTGTTGATCTAGAGCAAGCTCAATCACGTGCAGCTTAAGAGGAATCATAGATGTTGCTGATGAGAATAAGCCAATAAAGAAAAAGGCTATTTTAAGAACCAAGCAACTCTGATGACAATGATTTTGCGCCATTATATTGCTCATTATATGATGATGAGGAAAATGCTATTAGATAAGATTATAGGAAATTCAAAGAGAGCAAGAAGATGGCAAATGAAAGACTGACATGTGAGTATGATTTTAAAATGATGAATGAAGTTAAGCCATGAGACAAGTATGAATATGATTCAAGTGCTTGAGATGATGAATCTTATCACGAAGATAGTGATGGTCACCTTATCAGGCGTGTGTCCACATATGTAAGGTTTAACAAACAAAGACGAAGTGATTAATTTTAGCTTGAGTGTGAATTTTGTGGGAAGGCTTTCAAAGATGCAATCATACACTATGGCGTAGTTGAAAGAAAAGAATTTAAGTTCATACAAGATGAGGGAGATAGAGCAAGGGCAAAATGCACATGGTCTCATTGTCCTTTGGGTGTGTTTATTGAAGAAAACATCACGGTTTGAAAGCTAACATATAACCACATTTATTAAGGTACGCGCTTGTCCAAAAAGGGGAGAGAATGCACTTGTGAGAAGCACAAAGATTGCCAATAAGTTTGTGAATCCAACCAGGTCCAATCCATAATGGTCAATCTAACAATTAAAGGTAACCATGCAAGAAGAAATGTCTGCAAATTTTCAACATCTCCTTCAAATATGGTGGTACAGCCGGGCTAAACCAAGCAAGAAATCACATCCCCCGAAGCTGCAAACGACGTTATAACCAATTTGACATCTCAGATAAATGAGCGCAACAAATCCCTAAAGCATAGAACTTGGAGCACAAATTAAACTCACCCAAGATCTTAACAAGTGAAATACCTCCTTAGTGGGTTGCTAAAACTCCAATAAATCCACCTCGCCACCTTCACCTTCTCCATTCAACCACACATCGGTGGGTTTGTAGCGCAGCAAGTGCTCCATGTTTGGTAACAAGTGCAACTTCCTTCCTTTGTTGGGTCTAT